TGCCCACCGCTGAATTCAGCCTGAAGCCATGGGCAGCACTGCCTTGTCCTTTTTAAGTAGACCTAGTTTGTGGTCCATTATCATTATAAATTTATGTTGTAAGAAAGGTATTGGTGAAACCTCCTGACTCCAAATATGACCACCAAACCTTCCTTGTTGACCTGGGCATATTTACACTCTAGATTAGCCAAACTTCTCGATGCAGACACTATGGGGGGTTTCTCTCCATTGGGTCTCCTATGAATTAATACCACCCAGATGCCATATGGAGAGGCATCACATGTCAATATCAGATCTCGCTTGGGATCACAGTGTGCCAACACCTTAGAGGATGATGAACAAAAACAAAGTTGCTGGAAAAGCCCAGTCGGTCTGGCAGCGTCTGTGAAGCAAAAAACAGAGTTAATGTTTCGGGTCCGGTGACCCTTCCTCCAAACCAGATCCAGACCTTAAGGTCCCAAAACGTTAACTCTTTTTCCCTTCACAGATGCTGCCAGACCGACTGGGCTTTCCCAGCAACTTTGTTTTTGTTGCTGATTCACAGTATCTGCAGTTCTTTCTGTTTTTACCTTAGAGGATGATAGCTGTTTATTCACTTCCCTGAAAGCTGTGGTTTGGCTACAAGGCCATTTCCAAGGTTGACCCTTTTTTAAGAGTTGATACAAAAGGGGCCAGGATGGAGGCCAGGTTACGTATTAACTTTCTGTAATAATTACAAGGGAAAGACCTAAGCTTTGGTACAGACATGGGAGCCAGGGCACCTTTGATTGCCCTTACTTTATCTTCCAACAGGTGTAATCTGGTCTTTTCGACTCTGTGGCCCAAGTAGGTCACTTGGGGTGTCTGGAACACACATTTTCCCCTTCTAAGGCGTACACCAGTCTGGGAGAAACATCTATGTCCAATTTCTCTAAGTGGTCCTTATTGGTCTTCCCTGTTACTAGTACATCATCTACATAAATGGCAAACTGGGGGTCGACCTTGTAAGAAGTTCTCCATCATCCAGTGAAAAATTGCACAGGCTGATGATATTCCAAATAGCAGTCTCGTATACTACTACAAACCCTTATGGGTATTAATTGTAGCATACTTCTGGGAATTCTTATCTAACTGCAATTGCATGGCTCATATCCAGCTTTGTGAAGGACAGCCTCCCTGCAAGCTTTGTGTATAAATCCTCAATGCAAGGGATTGGACATTTATCTAGCTGCAAGAAGCAGTTTGTTTAAAATTCCCACAAAGGCAAACCAACTTGTTGGGCTTCTCAACAGGGATGACTGGTGCTGCCCATTCCGCAAACTGACTGGTTTGACGATTCCTTTGCTTTCCAGCCTTCCGATTTCTACCTCTACTTTTGCCCGTAACGCAAATGACACTAGGCAGCCCTTGCAGAATCATTGAATTGCTTCCTGGTCAACATGCAAGGTGGCCTTTGCCTCCTTTGATAGTCCCAAACCTTCCTGAAAAACTTCTGGTTATTTAATTGGGACTTCACTCAGGCAGCCATTTTCTAATTGAAAAATGTTGAGCCAATCTAGGTCAATCTTTCTCAACCAATTTCGCCCCATCAAGCTTGGGCCTGAGCCTTTTACTACAATCAGTGGTAACTGAACCAGCTGTTTCGCATAAGAGACTGGAACCGAAGTTGTACCCTTAATCTGTAATTGTTCCCTGGTACAGGTTGTCAATCTCGCCAAGGTCTTGCGCAAACTTAAGGGTTGGAGTCCAGACTGAATTTTGTTAAAGACTGGTTCTGCGGACACTGAAACTACTGCACCAGTATCAACCTCCATTAGAACCTCGTGATTGGTTCTGATTTGGACATTGCTAAGCAATTTAGCTGCTCCAAACGAGCTCTCGGCAGACTTGCCAGGGTGTGCACTCTCCTGGATACCAGCTGATGAGTTCTCTTACTCAGTTTAGGTCTAGTGGGACTTATTTGCTGTCTCGAGTCAGCATACTAGCAGCAACTATGATGGCTTACTGGCTCAGATCCTGAAGAAAATGTTATCCATTTGGCTGAGGCTTAGCTTTGTTTTGGGGTTTTGCTGTGGACTGACCTGGAGTATCTCTGTTCAGGATATGTCCTGAGTGAGGCTATGCAAATATTTTCACTCAGGTAGTGTTCCATAAGCTCAATTAGACTGCCGAAGGTGTCCACTTCCATTGGAATACCCTGCAACTCATTTGCTCTACTTGCTGCATTTTCCAGTAATAGTGCCTGTTTGAAGTCCAGTTCAGCTTCAGCTAGAAAGTGCTCTTGCACGGTTACATCATTAATCCTACATACAAACAGTCTCTCAGCACCTCATTCAGTGCTAAACCAAAGTCACATGCCTCTGCCAGTCATCTTAACCCATCAAAAATTCTAACACGGATTCCCCTGGTTCTTGAATTGCCAAGTAAAACTGGTCGCATCTCAGAATTAGAGGAGGCTTGGGGTCATAATATTCCTTAACTAAATCCTTAAATTCTTGGAAGATTTTAGAGAAAATTAGGCTTCTAACAACCGAGAAAGCTGCGGGTCAACAAGCTATCAGCAGAATTACTCATTGCTTTTCATCTGTCTGGAAAAACATAATGTATTCTTTCGACACACTGGGCCCAGTCTTTGACAGCAGGATTGAACAAGTCAAGCTTCCCAAATAACAGCATGATGCCAGAAATGCTTACCCCAACTCAAAGATGACTGTTGTGAGCGAATTTCCTTTATTCATTAACGAGGTGAGGACATCACTGGCTGACCAGCATTTATTGTCCATCCCTAATTGCCGAGAGGGCAGTTCAGAGTCAACCGAACTGTTGTGGGTCTGGAGTCACATGTAGGCCAGACCAGGCAAGGATAGCAATTTCCTTCCCTAAAGAACATTAGTTTTACCGACAATCGACAACGGAATCATGGCCATCATTAGATTCTTAATTCCAGACATTCTATTGCATTCAAATTCCACCATCTGCCATGGCGGGATTTGAACCCAGGTACCCGGAATGTTTTCTGGATCTCTGGATTAACAGTCCAGCAATAATACCACTAGGCGATTGCCTCCCCAAATTTCTTCCAAAGCATGCTTTTCTATTGTTGCCATTGAAATAACTCCACAGAGGCCGGTATCCTGTTACCAAGTCACCCTCTATTTACACATAGAGAGTCCTTAACACTGATCCAACTCCCTCAGAGCCACCTCTCAAAAGTTCTTATCTATCAGCGAGGGCTTTTTGATTGGACCAGGTTAACAGCCCCAATCAGGGAACTCATTCTATGATGTCAACTTGGCTGACCTCATTACAATTATAGACTCACCATTCTGTGCACCTCCCCCGTAAGGTCGGACTCCCAAGTAAGTGTGACCAAAAAAAAAGTTTTTACATTTCACAGTTCCTTGAACTAACTTTGAAGGGAAACAAAGCTGGAATACTCTCAGCCAATCAACCCACAATCTTCCTATAACGGCACAGTTTGATTTTTTTTTCAGTCTATTCAGTAATTCCGAATTGCTTGACAGTGATCCGAGTCTGCTTTACAGAGATCCTAACTTGCCAAAGATGCTAACATAAAGCAAGACCACATTTGTTGCTCATGCCCAATTGCCCTTGAGCCAAATGGCTTGCACATTTCAGAGGACAAATAAAGAATCAACCACATTGGTGTAGATCTGGAGTCACATGCAGACTAGTCCAGATAAGCATAGCTAATTTCACTCCCTAAATGGCATTACTGAACCAATTGGGTACTTCTCACAACAGATCATAGTTTCATGGTGACTATTATGAAGAATCGCTTTATATTCCAGATTTATTAATTGAATTAAAATCTAACCAACTGTCAATGTGGAATTTGAACTAACATCTCCAGAGCATTAGATGGGTCCTTTTGATTACTAGTCCAGTGGCATTACCACTGCTCTAACACCTCCCTGTAAGTGCTTCATACTTCTCGCAGTCTACTTCATAGTGATGCTGGTCTGCTCTACACTGATCCTGACCTGCATCACAGTAATTCTCCACTGATTTTTTTTTTTTTTTTAAAAGTAAGATATGTCATCTGTCAAATGCTTTTTGATGCAGCTTGTTAGTAATGACCATTCAAATTTTTTTGTGCTACTTTCTGGGATCCTATTAGAAGTAATTATACACTGATTTTAAAACATAACTACGAGAAGAATAATACAAATTGTAAAAATGACACAGAATCATAGAATCCCTACAATGCAGAAAGAGGCCATATGACCCATCTAGTCTATGCTGACCCACTGAAAAGCATCCCATCCAGATCCATCCATCCCCTTAATCTCTCATGTGTTTCTTTTTTAAACTATGGCTAACCCATCTAACCTGCTCATCCCTGACCTCCAGGAAAATTGTATTTTTTAACCATGGCCAATCCACCTAACCTGCATGTCTTTGGACATAACGGCATAGTTTCAATAGATTTCCAGGGGAAAAACAAACCCCTCATAGATAACAAATATGTAATGCATATTAAAGCAAAATACTGTGGATGCTGGAAATCTGAAATAAAAATAGAAAGCGCTGGAGAAACTCAGGAGGTCTGGTAGCATCTGTGGAGAGAGAAAACAAAGTTAACAGCTCCAATCCAAATGACTATTCTTCTGAACTGAAGAGGAGGAGGAGGAGTCAGGTTCAAAACATTAATTCTGTTTCTCTCTCCACAGCTGCTACCAGATCAAATATGCAATATACAGATAGATGAGAAAAAGTATAGCAGAAATATACTGTCTTGACCAATTTAAAGTCATGTGCAACTGTTCATATTCTAAAGTATACCTGTGGGGATCATGTTAGAACACATGCTGCAGTTCAGATGGCTCATCATTCAATCCTAACTCATGTAGCCTACATATTATCATTCTATTTATGAACAAAATATTGATCATTTATTTTTTCCCCAGCAAACTGAAACAACTTTCATACCACATCTTATATTCACTGGCCAAAATTTAAAATTGAAGGAATTAATAAACAAAAACAACAATTCCTACTTGTTGGACGTACTGCTTCAAATCAACCGCTTCCTTTTTCTCATGAATAAGGACAGATTTATTTTCTTCCACTTTTGCGACATCAATTTCTCCACGTCGCACTTCTCGTACTCCCAGCGGTCGCTTTCGAACACAAACGTGGATTTTTTCAATCTCTGTCCACGTCTGTTCTTTCCCAGGACTCGCAGGCCTAGGAATAAAAATGCAGCGATTACATAATAATTCTCAAAGCAAAATAATCCCCTAGCGCCATTACAACTGTGACTAGACTTCAAAAAAGTAACCTGTGACAAACTTTGGGCGTAGATACAGTAAACAGAAAGAAACCTTTCCCCTTGACGGAGGGATCAATGATTGGGGGATGTAAAGGTAAGATGCAAAGGTTTAAAGGAGAGGTGAGGAAAAACATTTTCACAGTGGGTGGTGGGAATCTGGAACTCACTGTCTGTAGGAGTGGTAGAGGCAGAAATCCTCATAACATTTAGGAAGCATTCAGATGTAACCTTGCTATGCCAAGGCATACAAAAATTTGGGCCAAGTGATGGTTGTTGTTGACTGGCATGGACGAAGAGCCTTTTTCTGTACTGTCGATCTCAAAGACTCCAAGAACATGGCTGAAACAGTAAATGTACACTTTGTCTCTGTCTGCTTTAAAGAGAGGGATAAATCCTGGAACATCTGACCAATAGCTAATGTCAGCAGTGAGAACTTTGACAGACATTGTGCACAATCTTGCAGACTGTCCACATTCAATAACAGACAGGTGGACCTTAAATAAGAGGGCTCCCCCACAGTTTTTCTTCCCTGCATTTCACCATCATCCTACTACCTTGCATAACATGAGCTTCTACTCACTGCCCCAGCAGACTTACCTAGATTTAGGGCATGCAAGGTTTCTCTTCCCCATGGGCCTCCTGCAATACTGGCAGTGGTGTGGCACAGAATCACTGGCCTCCAAATACAGCTACTGGCTAAGTGCTTGGACATCTTCTGGAGATGGACCAAGTCCAGTTTCATACAAATTAAAGATCATTGCCCAAAATATACCCAAGATGGCAGCAGAGTAGCAGGTCTGTGCATGGACTCCTGAGCTCAGAGCTCATGCGCTCCAGTCTTTTATCTCTCCTCTTTACTTCTGCTCTTTTTTTTTTTCCACTTTTTTTTTCATATTTCTTTTCTTTAAAGTCCTTTGCGATGGGTTAATCAGCCACATAGAGAGCGCGGGCTGTGCGCAGAATGGCAGCAGCATCCCAGCGGTCTGAGGTTGCGGCAGGAGGTGATGACAGCAGCAGTAGATGCAGTTCCTCCCAGCAATTGGAGGTGGCAGCAGATGCAGTTCCTCCCAGGCTCCTCTTAGCCATCGGAGATGGTGGCAGCATGGCATCGGCAAAGAGAACGGGCCATGTGCGGAATGGCGGCAGCCTCCCAGCATTTGGATGCAGTGGACGTGGCTCCTCCCAGCGACTGGAGGCAGTGGCATCATCAATGGCATCAAGAATGAGGCTCCTTCCGGTGATTGCTGTGAGACTCGCAGGCTGATCGAGACTTCAGGCCATGGCTGGGCCTGGGTACCTGCTTTGGTGATTCCAAACACCTTTATGGAGATAAGACTTAGACTTTAAGTTCTGGACATTTTTCTTACCTTTTGGCTTTCTTTTATTTCTGCTTTTTTAAAAAAATCTGATTATGTAACCAAGATGGTGCCAGAGGATGGCCACTTTGTACACTTTCACAGTACTCATGTATTCCTACAAATAAAATCTAATTCCAAAGTCCATTACAGTGGGACATGCTGGCTAAAACGGATGTGGACTTGTTCCCAACCTTTACGCTCAAGTGCAGGGAGCCTAGATTTAGATTATCAGGCTGGATCATACGCCTAGACAAAATGAAATGTAATCTGGAAAAACATTTAATGGATCAGAGCTAGCAACATTTGCAAAAGGTAAATCATGTTTGACTGGTTTCATTGAGTTTTTTTAAACTGAAGCAAATGGGGTGAAGGATTGATGTAGGCAGTGCAGTTAATATACATATGCAGTTCCAGAGGAATTCAATGAATTGCCACGTAACACTTATTAGCAAAACGGATGCAAATTGGACGACAGCGCACTTGCAGTAAGGATACAAAATTAGCAAACAGAAAGACTATGGTATTCACTTCTTTCTGATTGTAAAGAAGGATACAGTACTGTCCCCATAGGTTGATACTCAAATTCCCACACTTTTTGATATACATATTAGTGTACACAAGGCATCATTTCAAAGTTTGTAGAAGGCAGAGGGAAAGAACAGCAATGAATGCTGGTTATTGAATATTTTTAAGATTGAGTTAGATTCTTGATTGACAAGGTAATCCCAAGATTGTAGAGGGTAGACAAGCAAATAGAATTAAGACCACAATCAGATCAGCCATGATCTCAAAAACTGAAGCTTAAGAGGCCAAATGGCATACTGACTGCTCCTAACTTGAAAGCTTGTATGAACAAACTCAGAAATGTAATCAACAGCAAGGCAAGTAGTATATGACTTCTGAAGTATCTGAAATATGCAGACACACTTCAGATGGAAAAATGATTACGGGGGAAGATACAAATTAATGGTATAACTTTAAGGGATTGCAGAAAAAGAGATGCAATTATACATAAGCAACTTGAAAAGGAGGCATTACGCTGAGGAAGCTGTTCAAAAACATCTTTGGCTTTAATCAATAGAAACATAGGACCTAAAGAAGTTATTCTAAACTTTTAGAAAACACCAGTTAAGCCACTGCTAGAATATTATGGCCAATTCAGAGTATCATGTTTTATAAAGGATATAAAGACATTCAAGATGATGTATATAAAACTTACAAGATTGGTACTGGAACTTCAGTTATGTATAGAGACTAGAAAAGCTGGGGCTGTCCACACTAAAGCAGAGAAGGTTTAGGGGGAGATTTAACAAGGGTGTTTAATACCACGAAGGCTTCGGACAGTAAATAGTGCAATTAGCAAAAGGACGAGAAAAAACAAGAATTTTTTTGTTTTTTAAGGATCTGGCATACATAACCTGAAAGGTTGTACAAGCAGATTCAACAATAATTTTTAGTAGGAAATTAGAGAAATATTTGAAGGAGAAAATTTCACCGGGCTATGCAGCAAGTGCAGAGAATCTTTTAAGATGACAGTACAGGTGAAGGGCTGACTACCTAACATTGCACTATGAAAGCTAGGTTTTCATTATTCCATCATTCTAAGAAAGCTAGGCTTTTTGTCCCAAAACTTTTGGACAGATCTGAAGATCCTATTGTCATATCCTGCGATGGACCAAATCAACTACCCAACATAAAAAGTATTCTAATTACAGAAAATGGCTTTAGCCGCTGCACAGCAACAAAAGTACTATAGCAGATAACGAGATGAGAAATCTGGTAACTACATAAGCCTGTGGAATTTCCACACATAATACCTTTTGCTGATGTCAATTACATCCACCCCTAAATTCAACCTATTTCCCACAAAAAAATCATACGTAGATTCACTGTCCCTTAATATTAAGGTCACATTCATATTCAGGTTTTCCTGAGTTTTGTAAATTGAGTTTTGTAAAAATTCTAAAACTAGAAATGAATGCATGATCAATTTTAAAATTATCGTTACAATACCTTGAGACTGCATGTGGTAGTCCATAATTATATCCTGAAACATGCAAAATCATTTTTGTATTTTGAATTGTTGAGTAATCATCCTCCTTCTCAGCAAGAGAGTGCATTTCCTTACAACATAATTTGACAGGTAGCCGGTCAACTGGTGAAGGAGGTTTTGACAATCCTGAAGGAGTATCCTGAAGATAATTTTCAGAAGATGATAGCTGAGGATAGCTACTGGGTTCAGAAAGCTGACTGTTATTGTTCCTTTCATTATTGGATATGCACTCAAAGTTCAACTGACGTCGAGGGCCAGGCTTGACTTTCTCCACAAAGACATTAAGTGCACCTGCCTGGGAACAGTCAGTACTTGCACTGGCTTCATGGTCCTCATTTTGTACAGCTTTTATGATTTGAATGAGTTGGAATAAACGTTTTTGATCACGCATATTGTGCATCCCCAGCACAGAATAATCATTCATGGTCAGCTTAACCAGATCTTGTGACTTCAGAAAACCCATTGCTGTGAAGTGAGTGTAATACTGCGCCAATCCGGCTTCACGCAGACATTCGTAGAGACACGAGGACATTCTACCAACTTATGTTGCCACTAGAAAAGACAAATGCAGATTAGATTTTCAAGTTCTGTATTATTTTGGGAAATTTTTGCTAAACATTATTTTCAAGCTCTTGGTCTGAATAAACTGGAGTCTCTTAGAAAACAAATGGAATAGAATTATATAATTTTACCATTTATAATATTTATGTCTTTTCTAAATAAGTGTTCTCACCAATGGGAGGAATTGGTACAATTAGGAACAGAAGCAACACTAGGCAAATTGCTTTCAACAATGAACTTTTCAGTTAACAGAAAGGGGAACCTTTTATTTCATATAGTTAAACTTGATTCAATCCCATTTCTGAATATGAAAAAGTGAAAAAAAGTTGTATAGTATCCTTAAGCTTACCCAATATTCATAAATTAAACAGCAAATCTGCTTTCAGAGCAAATAAACCCCAGATATTACAAACAGTAGATTGTGAATACAAATATAGTACTGATAGCAACTATCTTAAAAATGATTAACTATAGCTGCTCAGTAAAATTATAAATATTGAAGAAATAAAAGAACTAACAATGACAGAATGCTTTCACAGCCTTAGTATCTCCCAAAGTGTATTTAAGTCCCCGATATTGTCCCTTTCATTATTCGATATGCACTCAAAGTTCAAATGACGCTGAGGACGAGGCTTAACTTACGCCACAAAGACATTAAGTGCATCTGCCTGGGAATAGTTAGTCTTTACACTGGCATCATGGTCCTCATTTTGTACAGCTTTTGAAACACGGGAACTTGTGTAAGAGAGGGAAAGCAGCTGGCAACTGTGTAGAATGAGCATGAACAGAAATGAGCCAAAGATAATCAGGTTAGAATGAATGTGTCCTGTAGGATTGAGCAAAACTCCCCATATTCTGAAATACTGCCCCAAAATCCTGGGCTTCGCAAATATCTTTTAAAAGCGAAAAACAAAAAGACAGCTGGGCTCTGCTCTGGGAAAGTTACACAGAGATAGCTGCTTGGAACCATGATTCAGCCCGAAGATCCAATTCATGCCTCAACTCTAAAAGAACAATTAACCGGACCCAAGAAACCAACTTTTAACCCAGACGTTATGGAACCTTAGATAACAAGGTGTAGAGCTGGATGAACACAGCAGGCCAAGCAGCATCACAGGAGCAGGAAGGCTGACGTTTCGGACCTAGACCCTCCTTCAGAAATGGGGGAGGAGAAGGGGGTTCTGAAATAAATAGGGAGAGAGGGGGAGGCGGATAGAAGATGGATAGAGGAGAAGATAGGTGGAGAGGAGACAGACAGGTCAAAGAGGCGGGGATGGAGCCAGTAAAGGTGAGTGTAGGTGGGAAGTTAGGGAGGGGATAGGTCAGTCCAGGGAGGACGGACAGGTCAAGGGGGTGGGATAGTAGTGAGGAGATGGGGGTGGGGCTTGAGG